GATACTTGCCAAAGGGGGCAGTACAAGATATTAACTCTGCAGGGTGCCCAAACTTTTGCAGACGCCATTTTTTTGTTTTCTGTTATTTTGAAAGTGTAAATGATGGAAATAAAATCTAACTTTTGTTGACATATTATAAGAATGTCTAATCTGTAATATGATGCCTTTTGGAGATTTTTCCATCTTTCCTTGGCTTCTTTATGCACATACAAATTTTTAGCTAGGGTGCCCAAACTTTCGATCCCCACTGTATGTGTAAAGCACTGTGTAAATTGACAGCGCTATATAAGTACAATAAATAAATTAATTTTCTGACACGGAGGAATGCCAGTATACACAGATGGCATAAATCTAAAAGAGAGAACAGTGTTTAGACTGATGTAATGTTGGATACCTGTGAAGGTGGAACTTTACTTTTCTGAAACTTCAAAAAAAATTAAAAAGATGCATATACAAATGCAAGAATGACATTTTTTTTTTAGAAAAGTACATTGAAGTTTGCTAAAAACAACATGGTATCTTGGGCTGACACTTTCTTAAAGCGGAGTTCCAGCTGAAAAAAAAAAAAGTCAGCAGCTACAAAAAACTGTAGCTGCTGACTTTTAAAACACAGCCACTTGCCTGTCCCTTGGTCCAGCGGTTTCCTCACCACCCCTGGTTTCATCAGCCGTCTTTTCTCCCTGGTGCCGGCATCTTTAGTGTGGGCACACGGTCACCCTGTGACAGCTTGCGGCTTCACAGCTGGGTGCACACTGCGCATGCACGAGAAGCACTGCGCTTTATGAATGGCCCTGTAGTCTTCTGAGACCTGTCACGTGTCCCTGGAGACTACAGGGAGGTAGGGAGGGAGGAAAACTTTCAATTCCGATCGCCTGGGGGGTGGGGGTGGGGGAGCGGGTACCTGAATTTGACAGGTACCTGCTCCCACTTCCGCTGCGATTGCCTAGGCGATGGTAAGTGGAAGTTGTCCTCCCTCCCCTTAGTCTTTTAGCTCCCCAAAGGTGCCAATCCTTAATGGGGAGCGGGGGACAAAGCTTTAAAGGGGAACTTCCCCTTTTGGGTTAAACTCCACTTTAAGAAGTATGAACAATCTGTAGAACTTTGTGATAGGCATGAAAAGCACAAGTGACTGTGAAAAATGAATAGACAAAAAATGATGAGCTTGTCTGACATTTTTTTTGTTGTTGTTCATCAGTATACTCTTTAGTAGAAAAGAGAATCTAACACCTTATGCAAGTTTTAACATATCAATTGCTGCACAATGATAAGTCATATGGTTTGCTACAGAAAATATGAATACTCAAAGTGCAACTGTTCAACTTTTACTTCAATAAACATTATGCATTAGTATTTGTCCCGGCACCCTATAAAAACTGTAGAATGATGGGTTATCATTTCCAGCAGCATAGCCTGGCTCTATGTTTGCATCAATCTTTACTGTAAATAAGCTGTTTCTGGCCACCGCAGGATGCTCAACATTGAACTGAAGAATCAATCTGTCTCCCAGGAGCAGATTATCCAGAGTAATATAAGATGTGCTCAGAGCCAGGAGGCTGCAAGCAATATTACTGGGTTTGCCTTTATCATATTGGCATTTGTAAAGATTCTGCTGGGAAATTATCTTCAAATTAGTCAATGCATTTACACATCTGAGATGCAGGATGCTTTGATATGACAGTGTTTGCATATTGCAGCTTTCACCAACAGTTATTGATTGCAGACCCCTGCAATACAGTATATGCACATTGGAGAGGGTGTGAACCCTTAAAAAAGGGCAAAGGCGCAGAGCCACCAGAGCACTATGCAAAGGGGGTTGGACTTTACTGAACAGAGTACCAGGTTGCAGCCCTAAGGCACAGCTATGCATATGGTTAGAACCAGAGCATAGAACAAGGTCAACAGGCAAAATCAGAAACTGGGGAAAGCCAAAGGTCAGGACAAGAAGCAAACAAGCATAGTAAAATACAAGCCAAGGTTGATAACCGGAGAATTAGGATTGCTTGACTGCAGAAGCTAAAATAGACTGGAACCTTGAGCTGGGAAATTAACTTGTTGCTCATACAACTAGGATTGTTCTAAGAGTACAGCTAAATAGTGAGGTTGATTGATAGGCTGGGCAGGGACTGGGCATTTAGCTGCTAAATCAGTCAGCAGGTAGAATCCCGCCATGCCATCTTCCATTCCTTTGAACCATGGTGTAAAGTTGGGTAAACAAGTTCAGTTTTTCTAGTTCAACCGGAAAAAAACACTGATAGCTCCCCACATCCCACATCTCTACCGCTGTGTTGTTGTATTCTGACAGGGTGACCCTGCCCCAACACATTGATCAGCACTTGCATCCATTGTCTGCAAGCAGTGTTTGAATTCTGGTTTATAAGCAGGACCATTTGACAGTTGTTAGACCCTGGGTTACAGGCTTATACCTTCAGGTTATTGGACACTGGCAAAGTTTTCAAGGACCTACCCCCCGTGTGCCTCCCTACTCTGCTCGGTGAGTCCTCAGTTTTTTGCTGGTGTGGACCTCTTCTCCCTTGCTGAGAAATCTGTCTTAGCTTAACTAGTGTATTTTATTTTTTGGATTTTTCAATCAATTCTTCAACATCTCCTTCATGTCTCCTTTGTATACTACAATAGAAGCAGTGCATCCAGGTCAGTACAACCTCAGTAAACCTTGTGATCTGTAAGCAAGACTCCATGCTGTGTGAACGACCATGTTGCTTTGAGCATTGATCCTGCATAGGTACACAGTTTTGCACTTTGTGCAATGTGTGTAGTCAGACACAGGGAGCTGTACTGGACCATATCTATGAAAACCCCTTTGGGGGTATGTCCACCATAATAAGCAAAGCCTGGACTTTATATACAGTCTAGCATCGTGGACAGGTAAAAGAGAGTCAGCCTTTATTTCTGACCGTTACTCTAAACAACAGGGCTTTGTTTAGAATGTATTCACTTTATAGTGTAAAGTTTTTAAACTTGGCACTAAACCCCAGAGCTTAGGTTAGGGATATAAGGGAGGTGTCCATGAGGAGTGTTCTTGAAAGCTTTGTCAGTGTCCAATCACCTGAAGGTACCAGCCTATAGCCCAGGGACTATGAATACTTTTCCTGTGTGCTGTACTGTACTTCAAGATGTGAAGTTTACAGGGTAAGTCAAAATTCCTCTTTTTTGCCTATATGAAACAAGTATGTAATGTGTAAATTACAATGATATAAATATTGTACTAAATAAAGAATTTTTAAAAAATAGTTAAGAGGAGATAAATATGGCTATTTAGAGTTACCTAGCGGTTTATCAATGGATTATAGTAGATATGTATGTGTCTATGTTTAGTAACTGATAAGCTTTCTGCAGTTAACTGAAATGTAACAAAATGCCTACATTGTTATTTGCTATTTCTGACTGCTGCTTGTAACATTTTACAATGTAACAAAATTGTTGCATTGGGGTTTATGTACTAAAGATGGAGAGTGCAAAATCAAACTCACTTCTGCATAGAAACCAATGGATGGAGCATCCTTGGTCTACAAGTTGGTAAAGACAGATAACAGTGTCATGCTAATTTTCAAACAAGTAATTTTAACTGCAGATAAAAAATTAATAACAGATTATATAAATTAAATAATAATAATATACAAGGGCTGATTTTAATCCCATACAAATAAACATGAGAATAATATAATAAATCCAAAACAACTCAAATATTTGAACCTGTTTAACCAGAAACTATATTGGTTTTATAGCAGCCTACATTTTTGGCTCATTTTGTCTAAATAAAACATCAGACTGACCCATATTATAAGGCATGAGTCACCACGATGAGTTCACCCTGAGCTACTGATCTTTGAAAACAAGGGTATTTTTTAAAAAGAGAACAGAAGAAAGCACACAAATTAGCCCAGAGCTCCTCCTGGCTGGATAAAGGTTTATAAAACTCTACAAAATCCATGTACACATTCAACAAGTGTTCACCAACAATCATATTAACACAATAAACATGAGGTCAGCAAGCACTTAAACTAATAAATGCAAGGTGAACGTTTAATGTACAATACATTACATACATACAATATTCTAGGTAAAATGTTTATTGAATGTATGATACATTTTTGTACACTGTTCTAAATTCTTATTTAGCACATAGCTTCATTGTGGGACATCACTTTTGATACTTTATCTAAACAGAATCAGAGAAAGCAGATTCCTCTCAAGAAATATTTATCTATGAAAGAGAATGTGTACTGGTTTTGTATAGACACTATATTGCCAAAAGTATTGAGATGCCTACCTTTACACGCACATGAACTTTAATGACATCCCAGTCTTAGTCCGTAGGGTTCAATATTGAGTTGGCCCACAATTTACAGCTATAACAGCTTCAACTCTTCTGGGAAGGCTGTCCACAAGGTTTAGGAGTGTGTCTATGGGAATGTTTGATCATTCTTCCAGAAGCGCATTTGTGAGGTCAGGCACTGATGTCAGACAAGAATGCCTGGCTCGCAGTCTTCACTCTAATTCAATGCAAAGGTGTTCTATCGGGTTGAGGTAAGGACTCTGTGCAGGCCAGTCAGGTTTCTCCACCCCAAACTCACTCATCCATGTCTTTATGGACCTTGCTTTGTGCACAGGTACGCAGTCATGTTGGAACAGGAAGGGGCCATCCCCAAACAGTTCCCACAAAGTTGGGAGCTTGAAATTGTCCAAAATGTCTTGGTATGCTGACGCCTTAAGAGTTCCCTTCACTGGAACTAAGGGGCCAAGCCCAACCCCTGAAAAATGACCCCACACCATAATCCCCCTTCCACCAAACTTTACACTTGGCAGAATGCAGTCAGCCAAGTACTGTTCTCCTGGCAACTGCCAAACCCAGACATGTCCATCGGATTGCCAGACAGAAAAGTATGATTCGTCACTCTAGAGAACACGTCTCTACTGCTTTAGTGTCCAGCGGGAGCGTGCTTTACACCACTGTATCCGATGCTTTGCATTACACTTGGTGAAGGCTTGGATGCAGCTGCTCGGCCATGGAAACCCATTCTATGAAGCTCTCTACAAACTGTTGTGACAATCTGAAGGCCACGTGAAGTTTAGAGATCTTTAGCTATTGACTATGCAGACAGTTGGCGACTTCTGCACGCTGTGTGCTTCAGCATGCTCTGACACTGCTCTGTCATTTTGACCTATGTTGCTTCCACTTTGTTTATAATACCACTAACAGTTGATAGAGATGTGATATCCAACAGGGTGATTACTGTGGGGATATGTACAATGCTCCCGTGTCCTATTCAAACTATTGGAGAAGAAGAAGGAAGGGGCCATTTGATGGTCTTTATAGTCACTACAACAGTGATAAGTAAAATAATTGCTTTATTGAACATACATAAACGTACATCAATTATTAAAGTCCTCTACAGAGAATGTACTCTCACAGTAAATGGAATTGTACACTCAATGCAGATATAAATCGTATTGTTCATTTACAAATGTATATAATTTTTTAATCTATGTAGAAATCTAACTCCTAAAGAAGCGATATACATTGCGAAACATGTTGAGTTACTGCAGCCATTGATATCAGAATATCTGTTTCCAAACCTGTACCAGGTTACGGTATACTTTTATTGTGGAATGTATTAATACCATATGTACTTATACGATTTGTATCTGCATTGTGTATACAATTCCAATTACTGTGGGAGTACATTCTCTGTAGAGGATTTTAATAATTGATGTACATCTATGTATGTTTAATAAAGCAATTATTTTACTTATCACTGTTGTAGTGCCTATAAAGTCCATCAAATGGCCCCTTCTTCTTCACCACTAACAGTTGACCGTGGAATATTTAGTAGCAAGGAAATTTCAAGGATGGTCTTATTGCACAGGTGGAAACCTATCACAGTACCACGCTTGAATTCACGGAGCTCCTGAGAGCGACCCATTCTTTCACAAATGTTTGTAGAAGCAGTCTGCATGCCTAGGTGCTTGATTTTATACACCTGTGGCCATGGAGGTGATTGGAAAACCTTAATCCAATGATTTGAAGGGGTGTCCCAATACTTTTAGCAATATAGTGCATTATTTACCGTTATTTGATATGATCAGCACAAAAGAAAATATAATTCACTCAGGTAAAGAAGGAATATTGCATTTTCATATTTTGCATTCTCCTCTTGAATCAGAAGTGCTTTTTTTATTGTTTTCCAGGCTCTCGGTTTGCTTCTTTTGATGTAACAAATTGTGTATACTGAACTTTATCCACACAGCTTAATATATCAGAGTCATAGAATAGCTCAGTCTAAAGTTTCAACCAGACAATACAAGCCTCAAAGCAAGCAGCATCTGATTTGTTTGTCTCTTTTGCTTACACAATATGATTTATTGATCGTTTCTCATTAATTAAATATATTACATTTATAAAACATCACATACATATATATATATATATATATATATATATATATATATATACCACTAAAATTACATATACCTTACACCCTGTTTTGTTAATGTATGGCCTAGAACAGTTTATTGTAGTTTCAATACATTATATGTTCAGGGAACGTATATAAAGGAATCTGCTATAGTTTTAAGCATATTTATTCAACAGTGAATGTTAAAGCCCCTGAGCTTGATCCTCTTTAATCTCTATAAAAATGTCTCTAAATGTGTCTGGTCTGTCTATGATAAATCGAGTACCATTATTAAATGGTTACAGTTAGGAAAAAAGACATGTCTAGCAATTTCAGTTAAAGATATTAACAAAAAACCCTTTCCATGAATAGTTTAACCACCTTCCCACCTAAGGGTAAAACAAATGTTAATGCCTAAGCACAATTTTGCATCTTTGACATATGTTAGTAAAACTGTACATATTGTCACCACTACTTTTTGTATCCAGGTGGATTATACCTTGTCTTTTTTCAGAACAATTTGGGCTTTCTGTTGATGGTAAACAGTAATGGATATCTCCTGATTTTTTTTTTTTTGTTATCAAAACTGGCCCAAAATATGAATTTATTTTTTTTTTTTAATTCAGGTAAATATTCCTTGCTATTACCATAATTTACCACCAAAGAACAACCCAAAATAAATTCTCCTGCTCCTGATGATTGTAGTGATACCACATATGTGTATGTTTGTTGTTATTAGTAACTGTAGTATGGACCAAAAACTAGAAGGGGTAAACTACCTTTTGTTCAAATGACTCTTTTTAAGAGAGAATACATTTGGTTCAGTTAATATTTCCATATAGCTAAGGTCATCCTTTAATTTAGTTGCCCTTCTATGCTCTGTTTTAGGTTAGGCAGCATGTTTTTCTGAACTGGTGCCCGAAACGAAATACATATTCAGGACAAGGTTTTACTAATGCTTTGTATTGGAATTATATTGAAAGTATCTTGTTTATTCTAGAAGTTACAGATTGTAATTGCTCATGCGTAGTTCCAAAGCCGAATGGGCTCAGTAGGACTTGGACAAACTCAATTGGGAAGGGAGGGGGAGGGCCAGGCCCAGTGCGCATATACAGTGATTTCGGTGGCTTTTACAACTGACTAAGTGATGCATGTCTGGTGGCGGGGATGAGATTAGTGAAGTGTTGGAGCTACCTCGTCAGTCCTTGCCTGATCCTGCCAATATAGCATAACAGATTGGCTCAAGGCTATAACCCGCAGCACACCTGAGGCCATCCGCTCCTACCTGCCATCATGGTGAAAGTTAGGCACACTGTGCCCAAACCACCAGGGGAACAGTCCTCTAAAGGATCCTCAGGACTGGAAGCACTAACGATGGTGGCTGAGCAGCAGCTCTATGGCACCAGAATCTCCCACCCCAGTCAGATTTCCTAGTGTTCCCCTTAAATCAGTGCCTTCAGAGTTCCCCTTTACATCAGAGTCTTCAGGATTCCCTTTACAGTGCAAGGGGGAGCTTTTCAGACCCTGGTGTAAGTGGAAACTCTGACGTAAAGAGGAACGCTGTGGACTCTGATATAAGGGGGTATATCAGAGTTCCTTTTTACACCAAACGCTGCAGCATTCCCTCTTACATCATGATCTGCATCATTCCCCTTTGCATCAGAGTTCCCCTTTACATCACAGTTCAACTTGCACTGTAAGGGGGGATCCTGCAGACTGTGATGTAAGGGGGAACTCTGGGCTGGGTTATATTAACCTGACCTTCATGTAAATGGAAAAATATGTTTTTTGACTTTTGTTATAAATTAAACACATTAGTAATAGTGCTAGCTACGTATTTGTAGCTTAAATATTTATAGCGTCCATAAAAAATTGGTGCTGTTTGTAAATTTTGGGCGTCCTCTGTTAGTAAATTTCACTTCGGGGGATGTTCAATATCTTGGAGTTGAGAGCGGCATTTCAGGCTCTTCTAGCCTTCGGTCACCTCATCCAGGGTGGACCTATCCTGGTAAAGTTAGACAGCACAAGGACTGTGGCCTGCATCCAGAAACAAGGAGGCACTCACAGTTTCTCCCTCCTGAAGGAGGTTTCTCCAATTCTAGAGTCAGCCCAAGTCAATCTTTTGAAACTACCTGTGGCCTACTGGTCAGAAGAATCTTCAGGTGAAATATTTGTCGAGGACAATCCTGGAAAACAATGAATGGTCCAATCTGCCACAAGTCTTTCAAGAACTAACGGAGCTTGGTAGCTTCTTCCAGAGGTAGACCTGTTCACATCCCCAGTCAACACAACGTTGCTGAAGTTATATTCCAGGGACCAGCATCTTCAGGCAATCGAGGTGGAGGTTCTGATTGCAAAGTGGATCTCCAAGATAGCTTATGCCTTTCTGCCGCTCCCTCTGATCCTCAACTTTTTGCTGAGGCTGTGGCGGGGGAAGGTGACGGTTCTGGTGGTGATCCCAGATTGGCCTTGGTACCTTTGCTTCTCCTAATGAGAGTCAAGGATCAACTCCCTCTGACGTTAGAATCTTTTCCAAAGTCCAATTCGCCCAGCACCCGACACGCTTAAGCTAATGGCTTGGGTCTTGAGAGGCAGAAACTAATAGATCTTGAATGCTGTGAATACTCTTATGAAAGCAATGAAGGACAGCACTAACAGTACCTATGGTAAAATATGGCATAAAATCACTGGATTGATGCTGATCAAGGTTTTACACTGGACTCTTCACAAGTCTGTCATGTTCTGAAGTTTCTGCATGCAGGGTTTGATTTAGGTCTATCAGTAGATATGCTATAGGCCCACATTTCAGCTATCTCTGCCTTCACATACAGGGGGCATCCAACAATTAATTATACAGGTCTTCAAACTGCAATTTGGTTGAAACTTCTCTAAGGGATTGTTGTTCCCGAATTGGAATCTCCCATTGGTGTTGTATTTGTTTGCATCAGATGCCTTCAATCAAAAGTGGCCCCCTGTGGTACCTCTCACTGAAAACTGCTTTCCTGGTGGCAATACCATCAGCCAGAAGAGTGTCGGTATTTCATTACCTTTCTGTTACAGTATTAATTAAATAATTAATTAATTAAATTAATGAATAAACTCCCTACTACACAAAGGGCCCCCACAAATGTGTATGTGCTATAATGCCCTGTGGGCTGGCTATTATATCCCTCCTCCCCAGTGACTAAATCCTAACTAAACCAATAAGTAAATACAAGGTGCTTAAATGACAATTGTGCTAAAAACAGCACATATACAACGCCATCAAACTGTGTATACAGTGAAATTGTATAAAACTATATATATATATATATATATATATATATATATATATATATATATATATTAAAGTCCCAATAATTGTGTAAACATATAAAAGTAAAAAAAAAAAATGGAAAGTTCCAAAAAAACTCCAAATAAACCCCTATCTGCATCCTGTGTGAATATTAAGTGATACAGCGGTAAATCTTCTTACCCATAGCAATTCTCTGTGCATAGTGCTCCAATTAGTGCTCCCCATCCAGAGCCCCACTCACCACAGATAATTGACCACCTGGATTGGTAGGTCAAATATCGCATGAGATGTTGCAGTGCTCTCCTGCAGGAAAGTTGGCCGTCTGTGTAATCTTGACACCTCTATACACTGATGACAGACTCCATAGTAGAAACACCTCTAGATCAATCGTTTGTGACAAAACTCCTCTAGAACCTCCACAGTACTGCTCCACCTCCATAAAAACATCAAAGGG